TGTCCCTGTGTGACATTCGTTTTCCTTTGGAGACTTCTCCCCAGACGTTGTTCGACCTCTCAGGAAACAGCAGAGCCATCTTCAGGCAGCTTTGTGTGCCAGCTCTTCCACCATTCCTGGGTTGCACTGAAATTTTCCTGTACAGGGTCATGGCCCATGACCACTTTATAACCATGTTCCACTCCCCAACGAACTGAATAATAATGAACCACAGAGTGTGTGCTTTCCTGGCAATAGGGACATCATTTTTTGGCTCTATTCAAGCTACCTTTCTGACCACTCTCACTTTCCAGTTGCCATACTGTGGTCCCAATGAGGTGGACTATTACTTCTGTGATGTCCCTGCTATGCTAAAGCTGGCCTGTGCAGACACATCAGCCCTGGAGATGGTGGGGCTCATCAGTGTGGTCCTGATGCCCCTCAGCTTCTTCTTCCTCATCCTCACCTCCTACAGCTGCATCCTCTGCTCCATTCTATGGATCCCATCTGCTGAGGGGCAGCATAGAGCCTTCTCCACCTGCAGTGCCCAATCACTGCTATCCTCCTCGCCTTCATGCCAGTGGTCCTCATATACCTCCAGCCTACTCCAAATCCCTGGCTTAATGCAGCTGTTCAGGTCTTGAATAACCGGGTCACACCCATGCTGAATCCTTTGATATATAGCCTGAGAAATAAGGAAGTACAATGTTCTCTGAAGAAAGTGCTGCAGCAAGTACCCATTCTGTCAAAGAAGTGACAGACAAAGGCTTAGATACAAATACATCTGTAATACCATATGTACTTCCAATGCTATTCTTTTCTGTGCAAGGGATAACACAGACAGTCACCAATTTTTTGTGGACTTTGGGAGGGATGGCAAATTACTCATGGTGAACTAAGAATTTATTTCATCAGCAAGGACCATCTCTTTTCAGTTGTCAACATGTCTTGAATTTCTTTTCCTTTGCCTGATTTCTGTTCCTATCCATACAACTTGTCTCCCTTACTGCACAGCTTCTTCAACAATTTTCTCAAATGTCTCTCTCATAGTCTGTAATAAAAAATGAGCTATCATTTCAAAGTCTTGGCATTCGTATTATAAATGGAAGAAGTTTAATCAATTTCTTTGACATCCATTCGTGTTTTCTTGAAACATGCCAAGAATAAAAAAAAATCATTTCATGATGAGACTTAGTCATGCTCTTACAAACGTTACAGAGTCCTGATACACTCAGCCTTCTATGAAACACTTGTATTTGTGTATACCAAGAGTGGTGAAAGAGAATGTAGGCAGAGTCCACAGAGAGTCTCTGTTAAAGCTAGACAAATATTTTGTTTTTTCATTTCTAGGAAATCTGAATTTTGTTTTAGAATCCTCAGCACTCCCCCAAACCCTTGCAATGTCCAAGTTGTAGGTGACTTGTCATTTCAAACATTTTGTTTCCACACAATGTGTGTCTTGTGTTTCCTCCTGTAACTGCTTTCCTCTTGTGGGTGCAAATGACAGACAGATAGAGGCCTTGTATCTATTTATTTGAGTGTGTGTGTGTGTGTGTGTGTGTATGTGTAAATGTCTATATATGTGTGAGAATATGCACTCTGGGCATGTGTGTGTGCTTTTGGAATAAAGATGATATTAGATGCTTTGGAGCTGGAGTTACAGAAATTTATGAGATGCCTGAAGTAGATTGTGGGTCCTTAGCAAAATATTTAGAATGTAGTTTAATATATTGGTGGTGTAGCAGTTGGAAGTTCTCCTTCAAGATCCATGAATTCACTGGCTCTGTGTAAGAACAACTGATGAAAAATAGAGTCTATGGCTTCCTAAGACAAAATGGTGGTGTACTTATGAGGGTTTAGAGGGATGAAAGCAACAGGGGAAATTATATATATATATATGAAATAAATCATTCCAAAAAGCATTTATTAAAAGAAGTAATATGATAGTGCAACAGTTTTTATTAATTGAACACATAAACATTTATGGAGTGCTTGCTAACTGTTTATGGTAGTAAAAGAGGAGAGTAAGGTTCTAATTAGCAAAGGATTAGGGAACTGGTCCTGGCACTCTGGGGATCCCAGAGATGAAAAGGATCTGTTGTCTAAAGCCATCTTCTCTTATTTGGTTCATATAGACCCCAAATCAAATGGCTTAGTTTTGTTGCAGGTACAATGAACATATTGTGTTTTGTTGTCAGAAGAAGTGATTCACTTTACTTTTCCTGTTGCAATTACTGAGAATTATTTTTCCTTCAGTAACTTGGTCATAAAAATAATTTCCCTTAAATATTTTTAAATATTTGTTATACTATTTACCTTATAAACTCAGATGAAGGTTTTGCAATAAGATTAAGCCTTTAAAGATCTCACATTTGCAGGTTTTCTCAAGCGCTAATATTCCTTAAAGTTCATACAACATTAAGAAATTGTTATGAGAATTTATCTGAATAATAACACATCATTTTTAATATAACAGTCATCATTGTTATTGATAACTGTGTTATGCATAATTCAAGAAAATAAATCTTTATTGAAATCAATCATAAAAATAATAGTTTTGTAGAGATGAGTGGGGTCCTCTGAGGGAAGCTCTCTCTGATTGTATTATTATCCAGTGTTATCTATATGAACAAAACTGATAGAATGAAATAAATGAACTGTAAGCACATGAAAACATGTGAATGAGAAAATTCCATGGTATGACTTAAAGGGTGGAGGGCTCCTGGCAGCAGGCGGGCGGGGCGGGTGTGTCGGGGGCGTGTTTGTGAGGTGCACGTCATCGCTGGGGACATTCGAGTAGGACTGGGTCGCAGACTAATCCCGCCGGTTGTGGTGGCGCGCACCGGTAGGATTTGCTGAAGGAGGCAGAGGCAGGAGGATCTTGAGTTCGAGGCCAGCCTGGACTACATTTTTTTTCTCCTCGCCTCTGGCCTGTTCCTCCTTTCCATTTCAGTATGAACTGCTTTTGCTGCAACTCTGTGGAGACCCAGCTGGAAGGCAGGAAATATTACTTCATCCTCCTGTCTCTGCGTCCACCTGCCTGCAAGGATTAGACGTGGGAAACCCCACCCACATGCTCTGTCCGTATGTCTGCCTGTCTGTCCGTCCGTCCATCTCTCTCTCTCTCTCTCTCTCTCTCTCTCTCTCTCTCTCTCTCTCTCTCTCTCTCTCTCTCTCTCTCTCTCTCTCTCTCTCAATCTGTGTGTGTGCGTGCGTGCGTGCGTGCGTGTGTGTGTGTGTGTGTGTGTGTGTGCGCGCGCGCGCGCGTGTGTTTTCCATCTCCTGGTTCCTCCTTGGAAAAACTGTGGCACCACTCGAAAACTATGTTTCTTGAAGGAAGAAATGTAGCGTATGATTTTATTTGTTCACTTCCAGCATCAAAAGCTCGGGAGTTGGGAATCAATTACCAGAATGGCCAAGGTTATAGTAGTAGAATTTTTCCTAGTATATTCAAGAGCAAATGCTTATAATGATTGTCTACCAGATTTAAGGGTTATCAGCAATGGTTTTTCCCTCATGAGTAGGGTACTAAGAAGCTGATCCTCTTGAGAATGGTTATGCATGAGGAATCTCTTTATCCCAGGTGTCTGTGTTCCATCAGAGTGCAGTGGTGAAAGGTAAGGATCCATGAGGAGTAGCTTAAGTATGATTTGTGAGAGAAATTTTCCCTCTTGGAATGACCCACTATTTTTATACATGTGTGTGTTTACCTTCCTTTCAGCTTGATATAAAATCTAGTTCTAGTGCAGAGGGATTGAAGATTCATAATTTCTTTCTTTTTTGTGGCTATCATGAAGATATCTGTGTGTAAATAAACAAGAGAAGTGATGTTAGAGCCTTCTATAATCTTGTCTATCTTATTCTTGCTTGATTTATTTTATTGAACTTTGGTTGGCTGAAGGACTTAGCATTTTTTTCTCTTTAGAAAGGATTTATTTAACACTAAAACCAAAACTGATGCTCTACCCCATGCAGGCAACACTGGTCTCAAAGTAACAGCAATCCACTGTCTCACTCTCTTGAGCTATGATGTTAAATGCATGAGTAAACACACTTGGCATTTCTTCTCTTCACCTGTTATAAAAGGCTTCTTTATCTCCATAAAACAAAATGTTTATTTTGCTTCTAAATATAAAAGTCAAAGCAAGTAAAATGTCCATCATTTTGTAATCTAAACTCACAACTTCTTTGAGAGAAAATTAAAGGAGATATACTTATGTGGTCCATAGTATGTCGATGAAAACAATACCTTGGCAATTTTCTAATCTCACTTTAAAGCTTTCGTTTTACTTGGATAAGAAATAAATTTCTTCTGTACTGTAATTTTTAGTTGCATATGAGTTCAGACATTATGTTGAGTATTATATGAGTTCATTACTATTATGTTGGCATAACAGTAAACTGAAGTCTATTTTTTATTTTCACAGAAATCTTCAAAGCATGGGAAATGGAACTCATTCTAATGCAGCTGGGTTTGTGTTGGTGGGATTAACAGAGCAACCGGAGCTCTTACTGCCTCTCTTGCTCCTGTTCCTGGGAATCTATGTGGTGACAGTAGTGGGGAACCTGGGCATGATCCTGCTCATCACAGTCAGCCCTCTGCTGCAAACTCCCATGCATTATTTCCTCTGCAGCTTATCATTTGTTGATCTCTGCTATTCCACTGTCATTACACCCAAAATGCTGGTGAACTTTCTTGGGAAGAAAAATTTGATCTTCTATTCTGAGTGCCTGGCTCAGCTCTTTTTCTTTGTGATCTTTGTGGTTGCTGAGTGCTACCTCCTAACTGTCATGGCATATGATCGCTATGTAGCCATCTGCAGACCGTTGATGTACCATGTGATCATGTCATCTAGGCTTTGTTCACTGTTGGTTCTGGTTTCCTTCCTCCTAGGCCTTTTGTCTGCCATTGCACATACAAGTGCTATGATGAAACTGAGCTTCTGTAAATCCCACATCATCAGCCATTATTTTTGTGATGTTCTCCCCCTCCTCAACCTCTCCAGCTCTAACACACATCTCAAGAACTTCTCCTATATACCATTGCAGGATAAACACCTTGGTTCCCACCCTAGCGGTCACCATCTCCTATGTCTTCATCTTGGCTGCATCCTTCGCATCAGTTCATCAGAGGGCCGGTCCAAAGCCTTTGGCACCTGCAGCTCTCATCTTATGGCTGTGGGGAATCTTCTTCAGGTCAGTCACCTTCATGTATTTCAAACCTCCTTCAAGTAATACTCTGGAGGAAGAGAAGGTTTCTTCTGTGTTTTATACCACAGTGATCCCCATGCTGAACCCATTAATGTATAGTTTGAGGAACAAAGATGTGAAGAAAGCATTCAGAAAATTCTTGGTGAACAGACAAGTCTTACTTTTGGCTAGTGAGAGATGTGATAAAATAATTGTTCTACTGATAATGTTTTGTAGTCATTTTTTTTTTACTTCTCCCTTGTAGTAAGTATATCCTTATCAATGTGTTGTTCTATGGTTGAGAGCAGAGCATCCTTTATAGTAGGCAAACACTGCATCACCTGACTACATCCAGTACCTATGAATTTTAAGCTATTTTATCATGTATCATTAATTGAATTTTTCCAATGAAGTAGAAAATTATTTTGTAAAACATTTGATAGAGCATTGACAGGAAAACTGATCTTTTTGTCATATAAATGAAGTGATAATTCTGTAACATCATTCTTCTCCTCCTGTCTTCAAATATTGCTTTTGAAACCTTTCTGTATTTGTAGTTCTGCAGTAAGGAGTGTGGTTACATGAAACCTTACATTTATCCATGAATAACTGTGAGTGGGTCTCTCTTGTGTAAGTTCAGCAAGGTAGCCATGGCTTCTTATAGTTCATGCATATAATTATTATGTTATAGAGGATATACTTTCCTGTCTTTCTTCCTATCTTCTTGTTTTTTGAGCCTTGGAGGTTATATTAACACAAATGTCTTGCTTAGTCTCCAGATCATACTATCACTTATTCTCTGCATCCCAGAAAGTCGTGAGTCTCTATTTACTACTGCTCATCATGAACTGAAATTTCTCTTTTTTATTTATTTTATTTATTTTTTTTTATTTTACGAGACTGGGTTTCTCTGTATTGTTTTGGAGGCTGTCGGTCCAGCTCGGACTCGAACCCTCTGCCTCCCGAGTGCTGGGATTAAATTTCTCTTTTAGTGTTAATAGGAGTTTTTGAGGGCCAGCGCGCGGGACTGAGCGGCGGCAAATGGGAGGACGGGGCGCTGGTCGGCGGTGAGTGTGGGTCCCGGCCGTCCCCCAGGGGTCGGGCACGTGGAGTCCCGGGCGGGGCAGTGAGCGTGGAAGAAGGGGCGGCGGGTGTAGGGCGACTGGCGTGAGGGGGTCGGGATCTGTGGGAGGTCGGAGGCCGGCGGTGCTGGCGGTGCGTGCGTGTGTGCATGCGTGTGTGTGTGTGTGTGTGTGTATGCGCGTGTGCGTATGCGCGTGCGTGTATGCGCGTATGTGCGTGCGCGCGCGCGTGTGTGTGAAGGGCAAGCGGCTGCTGCTGCTGTTAGTGAGGAGGTGTTGAGGGTTTGTGGATCGCGAGTTTCTTGTGAGTGTCCGGACCTGAGAGCAAGTGTGGAGGGAGGCGGGAGTCGGGCAGCAGGCGGGCGGGGCGCCACTGTCGGGGGCGTGTCCGTGAGGTGCACGTCATCGCTCTGCAGATTCGAGTAGGACTGTGTCGCAGATTACTCTCGCCGGTTGTGGTGGCGCGCACCGGTAGGATTTGCTGAAGGAGGCAGAGGCAAGAGGATCTTGAGTTCGAGGCCAGCGTGGACTACACTTTTTTTCCTCCTCGCCTCTGGCCTGTTCCGCATTTCCATCTCAGTATGAACTGCATTTGTGGACTTAGATCTTGCAGCAACACTGCGGAGACCCAGCTGCCAGGCAGGAAATTTTGCTTCATCCTCCTGTCTCTGCGTCCACCTGCCTGCAAGGATTAGACGTGGGAAACCCCACCCACATGCTCTGTCTGTCTGTCTGTCTGTCTGTCTGTCTGTCTGTCTGTCTCACTCTCTCTGGCCCTCCCTTTCAGTCGGCCTCTGTCTCTCTGTCTCTCTGTCTCTGTCTCTCTGTGTGTGTGTGCATACGTGTGTGTGTGCGTGCGTGCGTGTGTGTGTGTGTGTGTGTGTGTGTGTACGCGCGCGTGCGTGCGTTTTCCATCTTCTGGTTCCTCCTGACTCCCGAGGGAACACCAGGGTACATGTCCCAGACCAACTGGCAGGCAGGCAGTGGTATACCTGTGTGCCACAGAGAATCGACGCATTGTGAATATTTGGACATAGGGGCTGTGTGGTAGTATTAAGCGTTATAGTATTGTTGCAGTCTTTGGAATCTAGAATGCCCACAAGGTGTGTTCCTGCTGAGCTAAAGCAGTCTGAGATACCGAAGAGAGAGATGTGGGAGAGATAAGGGGTGGTAGTAATGTTTGGCTCAGAGCAGTTTAGAAGTGGCAAAGTGGGGAAATCTGTTAAGACAATGGGTGAGGCCACAAAGGGTGGTTGTGAGTTTGACCCAGGAGGGACACACAACCAGCATTCTTCAAAGCGGTTAGGCTGTTCAACTTTACCTGAAGACTGGGGATTGTAGGGGATATGGAAATGCCATGGGATGTTAAGGTCCTTTGTCAATGTCTGTGAGTTTTGAGAAGTAAATTCAGGGCCATTATCTGATTGAAGGGAGGATGGAACCCCAAAACGGGGGATGATCTCCCTAAAAGGGAGATCAGAAATTGTCTGTGATCTTTTATTAGTGGTGGGGAAGGCTTCTCCCCATCCTGAGAATGTGTCCACTGGGACCAAAAGATATCTGAAACGTCTAACTGTGGGCATATGGGTGAAGTCAAGCTGCCAGTTTGATCCAGGGAGGGGTCCACTGGCTTGATGAGTGGGGAAGGGGAGATTTCGATGCCCAGAGGTAGGGTTAGAGGTTCGACAGATCTTACAAGAAGCAGTGATAGACTTTAGATAGGGCAGGTCTTCAGAGGCAGGCTGTAAATAAGTTTTAACAAAAATGAGAAAGAACCTGACTATTAGGGTGAAGGATCTGATGTAGATAGGATAAGATCTGTTGAGTATTGGGAGGTGGTGATGAAGATGTGGGTTGTAAAATGAGAGTAAAAAATGAGAGATGAGGGTTGTAAAAAAGCCCCCCTGAGGCTTGTGAGGGGGGACTTAGTCCCCTGAGAGCTGCAGCTCTAGCTGCCTCATCAGCTAGGTTATTTCCCTTGGAAATAATGGAATTGTTTGCTTGGTGTGAGCGGCAGTGGACAATTCCTGTGGCTGTGGGGGGAAGGTTAGAAACCTCTAGCAAGTCCATGATTTGTTTTGAATTGGTTATAGAACCTCCTTTTGCCGTTAGTAGCCCACGTTCCTTCCAGATAGCTGCATGTGACAAGAGAATGGTGAAAGGCATATTTAGAGTCTGTATATAGGTTTATGGACTGTCCTTTTGCTAGTTGAAAGGCACGAATAAGAGCCACTAATTTGGCTTGTTGGTTTGTGATTTGGGCTGGAAGGGCCTGTGCCTCAACCACTTTGGTGTCTGAGACAATAGCATATCCTGCTTTTCGTACCCCTTCATGTAGGAATGAGCTGCCATCGTATACCATGTATAGGTGGCCTGGGGTAGAGCTCCCTCATGTGTATGTGTAGGATGAGGTAGAACCTCTTCTAGGGTCTCAGTGCAAGAGTGAGATGGGGAGTATTTTGAGACTGGTTGGGGGAGAAGATTTGAAATATTAAGAGGTGGGCATGGCTGAAAGGTAAGGTTGTATCCTCTACTAATGCTACCTGAAGGGAGAGAACTCTGGAGGGGGTAATGTTTGGAGACCCTTGTATGTTAGAAGACGGGACAGGTGGTGAGGAGAGAGGACAGTAATAGGAGACCCAAAGGTTAACTTCTTTGACTCTCATATGAGAAGTTCAGCTGCAGCCAGAGCCCGCAGACAAGGTGCCCAACCTTGGATAGTGTGGTCTAATTTTCTTGGTAAGTATGCGGTGGTGCAAAGGAAGGTCCCAGATGGTGACCCAGGACCCCGAGGGCATATCCCTCTTTTTCAGTGATATAGATAGAGAAGGGACACGTTAAGTCTGGAAGGTGTAAGGCTGGAGCCTGTAGGAGGGCCTGTTGAAACTGATGAAATGGCTTGGTAACAGGTGCAAGGAGAGGCTCATGTAATGGGCCAAGGGCTGCCTAATATAGAGGCGAGCAAGAAGGGAGAAGGAAGGAATCTAAGAACGTAAGAAGCTGGCCATTCCTAGGAAGGATAAGATTTCATACTTTGTGGTGGGGACTGTAAGTGATTGTATCAGGTTTTTTCTATCTAGGTAATGGCCTTATGAGTTGGAGTAATAGTTAGTCCTAGATAAGTTACCTTAGGAGTGGACAGCTGGACCTTAGAAGATGATACCCTATATCCTCAGCTACATAGAAAATTTAACAAAGTAGAGGTGTCAGCCTGGCTTATTTCTAGGGATGAACTACAAAGACGAAGGTCATCTACGTACTGTATCAACTTGGATTTTGGGAGAGACAAAGAGAATAAGTCAGAGGCTAGGGCCTGCCCGAATAAATGGGGGCTGTCCCGGAACCCTTGAGGTAGGACTGTCCAAGTAAGTTGTGTAGAAATGTGTGTGTCTGGGTCAGTCCAAGTAAAGGCAAAGATTTTTTGTGACAGAGGAATAGAAAAGAAGGCATCCTTGATGTCAAGGACAGAGAAATGAGAAGTTTTTGAAGGGATGGTGGAGAGTAGAGTATAAGGATTGGGAACTACAGGATGAAGGGGAACTACTGCTGAATTAATAAGTCAGAGATCCTGAACCAGGCGGTAGGTTCCATTAGGATTTTTGACTGAAAGTATGGGGGTAATGAAGGGGGAAGAAGTAGGGCGAAGAAGACTTTTTCTCAGGAGGTCAGAGATGAGAGGTTTGAGTCCCCTGAGACTTTGGAGTGAAAGTGGGTATTGAGCCTTAGTTATATATTTGGCAGGGTTTTGTAGTCGGATGATTAGAGGGGTGTGATGTTTGGCTATAGAGGGATTTTGAGTGTTCCATACCTGAGGATCTACCTGAGAGGACGGTAAGGGAAGAGGTGTGTCAGACTGTGTGGTTTGGAGGAGGAGGAGAAGGGGAACAGCTGGCAAACCTGAGGCCAAACGGATAGGAGGAGCAA